GAGCGCGAGAATCTTAATCTTATCTTAATCTTATCTTAATCTTATAAAATTCAATTTTCATACACACTTAACACCTACTAAGAGAGTACACGTAATCTCGTGCAATCGTGGTGATTGTCGAGAATTACTCTCCCGACTTGCATTTTTTCCATAGAATTTGCCTTGTGCGTGACAGTGTGAGTACTTCTCCTCAATCACCCTGATACAGTACGCACCACGCACTGGCTTGGTGCACCTATGTATATTATGTACTACATCCTACACGGTTGCATTTTTGGTTGCATTTTCTTTGTGTACTTGTCGAGTACGCACATTCGTACCGTACCTTTTCTCTTGCGACATTTACTGCTTCCTATCAGTAGTCTCTAGTAATCGTACCGCTCGTACGTACGGTACCATACTGAAACTTTTTGCAACGAGAGTTTTTTGTTTTTTCGTTTTCTTGGTCCGAGTTCCTACCGTACCGTACGGTGCGATACCTGTACGTACATTTTCTCGTACGTACCTGTACTGCAGCTCTCTTCGGAGGGAAGAGCGAGGGAGGAACGAGACTGCTGGTACGGTACGGTATCCGAAATGCACGGCGCTTTACAGTAGGTATCCGTACAACCCGTACGTACGGTGCTGGAAGAATACATACCAAGTACCGTACGGTACAAGACCCGACCTCCCGTCTGTCACATCTATCATATTCGATCACACCAGCAGTACCAAGTACCTCCGGACCCCGATCGCACCGGAACGAGGGCATCCGGCAACCCACGACTTCCATCGACCCATCCGCACCTTGCGGAACGAGCCGTGACACAGCACAGCACAGCACTGCACACCGGATCCGCCTTTCGCCATGTTCGAGCTCTTCGACGACGACGCACTGAACGCCGCTGCCAGCAGCATCACGGGCACCAGCGGCATCGGCATCGGCACCGGCAGCGTCCGCAAGAGGCCGCGGTCCCCCACCCGGCCGCCGCGGGCGACCTCCCCCGTTCCGGCGAGGGCGAGCCTCGGGAAACCCGGGGCCGGCGTCCCGGACGGAAAGTCCCTTTCCCGGAGGCTCTCCAGCGGGAGCACCGCCTCCCGGAACCTGGCCCTGAACGACCTGCTGCGGATCACCGCCAGCTACGACATCAACTACGCGCTCGACGGCGACCACGTCGTCAAGGCGTTAGCGGGCGTCTTTTACGATGTGATCGGGTGGAACCCAAGCGACGACGGCGACGGCGACGAGAATGGTTCCGAGTCTGCCCACGGGAACAGCAACGGTGCCGACGGCAACGAGAACGGCGGCGACGAGGAAAACAGCAGCGGCGCCGAAAACGACGACGAGCCGAGGTTCTCGCCCAGGGAGGCCTGGAAGGGACCCCTGACGCGAAGGGGGAGACGGTGGGAGCGGTTCTGCCGGGCCAGCCTCGGGAGGGGCAACCTTCCGGCGGAGAGCGCCCGGTGCCTCGAGGCCGTCCTCACCATCCTGCGCAACCTGTCCTTTGTCTCGGCCAACCTGCGCCTCCTGGCCTACTCGAACGACATCCTGTCGATCCTGGTGGGCTGTCTGTACGAGCCGAACCAGGGTGATGCCGGGGGCGACGACGGGAGCAACGGCATCGTGCTCAGCGCCCTGGGCATCCTCATCAACCTGTCGCCCCACCTGGACGTGACGGGCCGGAAGCTCTTCTGCGACAAGCTCTTTCTGCGGTCCACCGCCCAGGGGGCGCCCCCCGAGGACGGCGCGAAACTCCCCGACCCGTCCACTTTTGGCCAGGTGGTGAACGGGAGCTGGGGCTTTGGGAGCCTCCTGCTGGCCAAGAAGCTCGACACCAAGGAGGACTACGTCCAGGACATCGACAAGGAGATGCTGCTGCAGGTCACCAAGGAGTACCTGGTCCGGGTGTGGGCCATCTTTCCGGCCCTCGGGAGCGTTCTGGTCGACACCAGGACGCCCCGGGCCGTCGTCACCATGGCGCTGGAGCTCCTCCAGGAATTCATCAACCAGGCCCGGGTCGGCGTCATCGGCAGCGTGGAGGACCAGGACCCCGACGAGATCCCCAACACGCGGGCGATTCTGGTCTACATCCCCGACGACCTCCTGGCCCGGCTCTCCGACTTTCTGTACATCCCCCGGCTGGGGAGCGACGCCATCGAGTACGTCGACCCGAGGGTGACCATCGTCACCCGGGTCAACCCCATCAAGCTCACGGTCGGCTACGACGGCTCGGTCGACACGGACGTCCGAGACCGGGCCCTCGAGGTGCTGGTCCCGCTGCTGGAGCTGGACTCGCCGGGGATCGCGGGGCGCTTCGGGACCAAGCCGGGCGGAAGCGGGCTTCCCAACAACAAGGTCTTTGACGCCATCTTCCCGATCCTCTCGACCCAGTCGGGCCGGAACGAGGCCCCGCTGCTGGCGACCCAGCTGCTCCGGGAGCTCTCCAAGGCCCGGGAGAACCGGCTGGGATGCCTCTACCTACAGGAGCGGATCGTCGCCCTGGCCAGCAAGGAACCGCGGGTGGCGCACCTGGCCTTCAACCACCTGTACGCGAGCGAGGAGGACTGAGCCGTGCGGTGGCGACACCAAACCAAACGAGACAAGGCGATTGGGCGTGCTAGTGTAGCGACACGATAAGGATATTGCTAGCATTAGGTATGATACTTAGTTTGCTGTAGTAGGTGTGTCACTATGAAAAAACTACCGCCGCGAGTGAAATTTAGTACGGTATTCGTCACCAAAAGCAGAAACGCATTCCCGCCAGGTTCTGCTCTGCCCGGCTCGGCTCGGCTCATGCTACCGCATCAGCGGCTGGTCCACCAGCTCGATCCGAAAGACTTCTTCCAGGGCCTCCCCCAGGAGCCCCGCAAAGGCCCCCACCGTGATGGGCTCCTCGCCCCTCGCGGTGAGAAAGCCGTTGAGGCACCCCACCCTCCGTCCCTCCAGGCCGCACGGGACGATGCCCCCGAAATTGGACAGGCTCTCCTCCCCGACGTTGACCGCCAGCCCGTGCTGGGTGATCCACCTCCTGCACTTGATGCCGACGGCGGCCACCTTGTGGTCCTCGATCCACACCCCCGTGACGCCCTCCTCGCGTTCCGCGGTGAGCCCGCTCCCGCACCGGGAGATGGCCAGGATGACGGCCTCCTCCAGGGCCCGCATGTACCAGTGGATGTCCATGCGGTAGCTCCGCAAATCCAGGATGGGGTAGACCGTGATCTGCCCCGGCCCGTGGTAGGTGACCTCGCCGCCCCGGTCCATGCGGACCACCGGGACGGGGGGGTCCGGCGTCGACGACGACGACGACGACGCCTGCTTGACAAAGGCCTCGTCGGATCCGGTTCCCAGCGTGTAGACGGGGCGGTGCTGGAGCATGAGGACCGTGTCGCCGCGGCGGCCGGGCGCCGTCCCGTTGCCTGGGTCGGCCGGAAGAAAGGACGACCCTGTTTCCCCGCCCTCCGCGAGGCGATCGATCTGGTCGCAGAGTATTTCTTTCTGATACCCCCAGGCGGTTTCGAAGCCGACCGGGTCGTCGTCCTCCCCTGCGGTGTAGTCGAGGAGGGCGACCCTCCGCTCGCACGGGGGAGCCTCCGTCTCGAGGGCCTCGAAGTAGCCGAGCTGCTGCTCCGAGATCATGCCCGGGGCCGCCGCCATCCGCGGGTGCTTGGGCTTCGGGGCCACCCAGGCGGCACAGCCCGGGAAACCCAAGAGGCCCGCCGCGGCGGCGGCCACCGATGCGGTCCGAACAAAGGGGCCGCCGTGCATGCTGGTGGTCGTGCGTACCGGTGTTTTGCGGTGTTTCGTGGTGCGTTGCGTGCCGAGCAATGGGGATTCCTTTCGCTCTGTTTTCCTTCTATGGCACCGGAGGTTTGTTTGCCGCTCTGTCGCTTGTTGCCAAATGTGGATGCAGAGGGCGAGGGAAAACCACAAACATGTACAGTTTCTACGGGATTTCATTTCTACGTGATTTAATTGGAATAGGAATGCACTCAGCTACGCTAGCAAATCATGGAATCTACGAGTACGTACCTGTACTTGTACATACTATTCGTAAGTATGATAAATATGGCTGCCGTGCCGTAGGGATTCCCAAAAGCAAAGCATGATGTACGGTAAGGGTACAGCACCTGGTACGAGTAGTACTCGTACTCGTACCTTACCGAACGAAATGTCGTGTTCAAATCTCTGAAAATCAATATCGACAACTAACATGCAGCATTTCATAATTCACATTATGTGTATATTAGAAGTACATCTTTTCCACTACATCGGGAATGACGATTGCCCAAATCGAAAATGGTCGGCCTCCCCCCATGTTCGCTAACTCACATTAGGATTTAAGTGGGGAAAAGGTTGCTTCCCGCAGACACTCGAGGAACAGTCGTGGACCCGATCGATCGCCAGCCGATCCCGGCTAGCTTCCCCCATCCGTGGCACACAAATCCGCGCTGCACGGCAAAGCAATCCACGAAAAGGGTGAGTTCCCGACGGTCGCTGGTGCCGCTCGCTCCTTCCCATTGCACGCGTCCGCGAAAGGGTGCCCGGTCGAGACCCAGCCGCGGGACCTGATACTACGGCGCAAGATAAAACCCGGAGACGCCCGGCCTCGTTCGCTCCGTTCCCCTCGCCCGGCACGCACGGAGCTGCCTAAGCTGCTGCCGCCACTCCCGGGCCCCCCTCTCCCGCCGCGGGCCGCGGGCGGAAGGTCACCCCTTTTCCAACCCTGACAGCCCGTTCCCGGTCGGTTTCCACCGGCCGGAACGAAACAGAAATACTAAGCCCCTCCCGCTACGGGGGGGGATTGGCTCAGCGGGAGCCGGATCGAAGCCGCCCGTGCCCCCCGCCCGTGTGCCCGGGGCAGGTTTTCTGGGGGGGAGGGAACCAACCGGAGCGCAGGGGCCGTGGCGTCCCCGGTGGTTGCGGGGACTAACGGGACCCGCGTGAGGTCCCTGCGAGACCCAACGAACGCCGCAAACAAGCAAACAGACCAACCAAAACGCCCCCTGTGTGGTGTTGCATGGATTTTATTTTCGTTTTGGTTTTTGAAACTACAGCATGTCGGTCTTGTGGATCACAACGACAATCCTAGGAACCACTCACCCACCGCGTTGCCGTTTCGAATTCTTTTTTTCTAGAACGAGCTAGAGCCGCTTTCCGAGCCGATGTTTTGAAACCCCAAGAATGCACGATGCGGGTGCACTTATAGAAGATTGCAACAAGCATACGCACAAAACCACGGACGATCCATCGTTGAAATATACTCTGTTGCCGTTCCTATGCCAGCTAGGTGGTATGGTCGGCTAGGTGGTACGGATTCGCATCAAAAATGGCGTAGGAGAGAATGGGTTTGGTCTTGGACATCCTTCGTTACGAATATATTCGAATCCATACGAACGTGGTATACATGGCTCGATGCATTTCTATGCTACGAAATCTATTGTATTTCACCATTGGTCGCGTATCGTCGTGGTGAATTTCAAAATTGGGCTTCTAGGCAAGGGAATCTCAACGCAAAATAATTCCCTGACTTCAGAGTTCAAGAAAGACGCCAAACGATACGGGTGACAATCATTCTAAACACCAACATATGATTACAAGTTTTTTATCAATAGTTTACAACAATATATGCCACACCTTTTTTGTTGCACTTAGTGTCATACATCGGCGGTAGCATTGAATTCACTGCATTCTACCTGGCTGGTAATTCTGCCCCGGAGCCTCGAGCTCGCACCTCCAATCCCAGCCGCTGCCAGGCTGGTCTCCGCACCGATCACGGATTTGCCATTACTGCCCAGAGGGTTGCCCAACGGAGCCAATCGCTCGCTTGCCAGTTCGTAGACGAAGAATATCGCTCCGTTCACCGGAAACGCCCGCAAGAGCGTAACGGCGAGTCCGCCCGAGCACATCAATCGCACCAGGCCCTCGTTTCGCAGGGTCTGCCGGGCAACACGGCGGAGCGACCGCTCCCGGGCGGGGGCTTCCATCGGTAGCGATTGGATTCGGCTCTTCAAAACGTCGATCGGGTATACCACCGCCCACGATACACACCCCGCCAGCCCGCCCGCCAGTGCCGATGAGTACCAGGACGGCTCTCGGGTTGGGGTCCCCCCCGTCCCGCCCAATCGGTCCTTTAGGGACCGATACACCGGAAAATAGATCGCGAGCGAAGGCGTCTGGCGCAACGCGGTAGCGAGCAGCCCCCGGTACAATCCGCGGAGGCCGTGCTCGCTCCCCAAAATCTGCCGTGCGACGGAAAGGGTTCCCGGCGGGGATGGCTGGAAGGAACCCTGCCGCGGTGGGCGCAGCGTCTGGAGCTGGACCTTGACAAGTTCTATGGGACAGATCAGCAGAGAGGTCGCGAATCCCGTGACCCCACCGCAAAAGGCCTCCCTGCCGATTGCCGATGCGGTCGAGGATTCCTCCCACGTGGTGGTGGTCCCAAAGAGCTCGTCCCACTGCCTCGCGGTTGCCCCGTAGACGCAAAAGACACTCGCGTTGACGAGTGCGGCGGTCGCCAGCGGCGCACCGAGCCCCCGGTACAGCCCGCGATACGGAGACGGCTGCGGGGTCCGAGCCGTGGGAATCCCGGCACGCTTTGCTTCCGGTGGTGTGTGCCCTTGCTGGAAACGAACCTTGATGGTATCGAACGGGTGTCCGATCCCGATGCCGACCGTTCCCGCTATCCCTCCCGCCAACAAGTCCTTCCACACCGCACCCCTCGCCTCTCGGCAATGCTTTGCGTGTCCGGGCCTTTGCGAAACGTGCGCATACCCGCTTCTGCCCGGAGGTTCCGCTATTCCATCCTTTTTCATGCCTCCCAACCGTACGTCCGTCGCGTGCAATGGTTCGGTGCACTGAATGAATTCAAAACGACACCTTGTCCCGTTGCCTTTCCATCTAGATAGATGTCAGTCATTTGCTATATATGTCCCAGTACTTTGGCAAACGACTTTGTCAAACGTTTCTGAAGATGATTACATTTAACAAAACACCGAAGAACAAAAGCAACGATAAATTGCTTGTCGCGTAGTAGTTCTACCCAACGTAGGTTTCTGTACGATCAATGGATTTGAGAAAAAAAAGTCTGACTCACCACGCACTAATTTTTTTCGGAAATCGAAATTTAGCCGGTAGATTTTCAATCGCTCAATTTCACAACGACTGTACAGTACTATCACAAGTAGTACTAGTCACCAAGGACTCAAACATTACTACTACTAGTTGAGACATTGTATTTCAAAGTATTAGAATACAAGAATGTTACTCTATGGAACTTGCTGTTAGTAGCATGAAGTAGTAGTACTAGGACAACTTCCTCGTCGACGAAGGATTCTTGCAGCTCATTTTCCACGTCTTTTGATTCTTCTTGTTCTTCCCTTCCTCGTTTTTGTATTTCCTCGAAAGTATCTCTGTACATTGTTCTTCCTTGGATACTCCACCCTTCCTCTCTCCTGGAAGGCCTGCCGCTAAACCCTTTTCTTTTTCTCTGATTTTTTGGGAGCGTCATTGGGTTTAGTCCATGAGTCCTATTCGTTGAACACAAGAACCAATGTCAAAGCCTTGTCGCTCGCGCTACAGAACTCCCTGAACTTGCTTCTGTATATCGTATATCTTTTTCTTGAACTCTCTAGTTTTTGGATTTATTGCTCCCATAATCCACTTCATGAACCAACAGAAGATGGGTACTTTACCTCCTATAATATTCGTATAGAACATATCTGTTTCTCGTCTTTTCATCACCTCCAGTCTCCTGATGAGGTTCTATCAATACATGTCCTGGGAAGCCTTTTGGTACGTTATCCGCTAGGTTATCTTCTTGTCATTGCTCTATCTACACATTGACCAATTTGGGGAACTGAATCATAAGAGCCCCTCGATTGCAATAGTTCCATCTGACCCAGCAGAGAGCAAACTTTGCCCGTCAGGTGAAACTGCAATCGAGCAGACCATGAAGCCGTTGTGTGCCTTCCACTTTCGATTCCAACATCCTTTCTCGAGGTCCCAGAGCCGAATGGAACCATCGCTGCACGCTGAAGCGATGGAATTTCCATCGGAGGAAAACGAAATGCAACGAATGTCACCGGAATAATGACCTTTCAAAAGCCGCCAACCATCATTGCCGTGACGATGGTTCTGGTGTTCTGCTTCGAATGAATTTTCTCTCTCAAAATGGTTCTGATTGGTTCGAAGTCGTCTTCGTTGGTGGTGTGCCTGGTAATGATGATGGCTGTCATTAAACTTGGAAAGCGTTTCTACAGAAAGGGCACAATGGCAAATGGTCCTGCCATAAGCAGCTGCGATCTGTTGCTTATCGCGAGAAATTGCAATACTCTTGATTTCTCCATCATCTCGAAAAATACAAGCGTTGCGAACTATTCTTTTGGGAGCTGCCCTGATCGACAGCTCGTCTGTTTTATCGGAAGCGCGATTGGGATATTGGCCAAGGATACCTTCATGATTGCCAAGAGCATTATCCATGGCTTCGTCCACATCCCAAACTCTCAAACATCCATCTTCACCACCTGAAACAAGACTCGTATGCCCATCCTTTTCAAACATGACGATGGAATAAATTGGTTGTTTTGCAGTGTGGATAGGTTCTTGGCTATCTTCAAAGTGGACCATGTGTTGTGTGGATATCACTCGGTCGTCCTTGTAATTGACCACATGCAGATGAATATTGCCATCCAAAGCAGCCGTGGCTACTAGCATGCAACCTGACATTGAATTTTCACCACCCCCATTACCTACACAATGAGTGTTTCGGTATGAGACTACTGCAATAGATGTGATACTACCAATGTGGCCCTTGAGGACCGCTTCACAAGAGATTTTGTTCTTTCGAATGTTCCATATACGAACAACCTTGTCGTCTCCCCCAGACAAAAACCAGCTTTCAGCAAAGAGCTGAACACTGTTGATCCGGCCGAAATGCCCCTGGGCAGACATTGTCGATCCGTTGTGGACGGCTCGTACCAACACGCCCCCTCGATCGGTGCCACATCCTAAATAATTGGTTCCGAAGCAAACGGTCCAAGGTCTAGCGGATGTTTGGACAGACCCACGGGCCGGCATTCGAGACCACCGACGGTGTGAGACTTGTTGTGATGTCGATGTTAGATGATTTCTTCGATTCTGGGAATATGTTTTTGCGTCCATGGACGCTGTTGTGGCAGCTAATCTCCACCGAACACGGGGCCAAGGACGATAAATACTGTTCTGTTTCGAATGGGATGGCGTCACTGTGATTGCATAGGTTTCCTTACTCAATGCAGCCAACGAATTCCATACCATACGGTCGTTTACGAACGATGCGATGTGATCCATTATCAAAATTGCCGGAATCTTTGGAATAGTCTCAATGATATCAACCTTTTCGTTTAGATACGATTCATGGTCACAAATGGTTGCTCCTTCATGTTGCGGCTGCAATATCTGCCCAGTACCCTTTTTAAAAATAGATGAGCAATCTTCCTCTTCATTCCGCTGCTGCTCTGGATACTCTTTTCCGTCTTTGACGTCACTTTCATCGTTGTTCTCCTTGTTGTTAGTCTTCATATTCTCCTTTCCTTCGTCTTCTTCATTTGGCCCATCACTTTCCCTAGTTCGAAGTCGTTCTAGTCGATCAGCAAATTGCGAATCTAGAGTCGGAAGCAACGACAATCTGGACTTGCTGTCGTTGAGCCACCCGGTCTTGATTTCACACACTTTGACAAATTCGTCACCGTTGACCGGTGTGGATACAGCAGATTTTCTTCGCAAAGATATGCCATCTGGCGCTCCGAATAGTTCTGACACGTTTGTACTTTTGTTACTTTTACTTCCGACACTGTCACCACGGAAAGCGGTGGCTTTATGCTCATCGGAAGCACACGACGACGATTGTGGCTTCGCCCAGCAAACGCCGCCAAATATGTCATCATTTTCGACATCCATCGTTCTTTTGGTGTGTTATGTTGTCAACAATTGCAACAAAGGTTATCATGGCGATGGAGACAGAAAACAAGACTGGTGGATTTTCGAAATGAAAGAACAAATACGGCATCAGAACAAGGAAAAAGATTCCTTGACTTGAAAAACTTGGCCAGCTCCATCGAACTGTTGTTTACTCGTACGTACAAAGGTACACAACATTTCTTTTCAAAGGAATGACGTACTGAACGATACGATACTTCTTCATACTGTACGATACGTACCGGTACGCTTGTGTTCAAATTATTATTTCGACTAGTACGAGTAATGTACCATACGTACCGTACTTATGGTATTATTCGAAAAGGAGTCAGCGAAATTCTTCGTACTCGTACCTGTAACCGTACCGTACAACGTAATCTGCTTGACTATGAGTCGCTACGTACCCTGAAACAGCATACCATACCGGTATCCCGTAGGGATACCCCGGCGCCGCCTCGGTTGTACGTCACTCCGGATGCATGGACTCTGTGCTCACATTCATACGCTTGTATACTACGCTAGCTATGGTACATACATAGGT